CGTGGAGGCATTCCGTCTTTTTGGTGTAGATTCCGACAGGGTAGTGGGTTCCGATGTCCTCAGGATGGCAGAGCCTGTTAAGGTCGTTCGGTGGCAAGGTCATTCGGTGGAATATTAGAGTTTTCGCAGGGCTTGTGTTTAGAACTACCAGTGAGATCATTTGGAGATGTGTGAATGGTTCTCACCTCTGTGTTGCTGAGCCTGGCCCGAGGGGCCTCCCTGCCAGTCCCTGCACTGTAGGACGGTGGTGAGAGGCACAACATGTTACCACAAGACAAGGCTCACAGCCCACTTGTGGCTGGATCTGGGCAGAGGATGGAGGTGAGGTCACCAGAGCTCCACGTTACTTCACCCAATTAGCTGACAGTTAATTAGTATTTGCCCAGCTCTTTGAAGATGGCAGTGCTGTTTAGTCAGAGGCCCACACAGACAAGGAGGCCAGGGAAGCAGCCAGAGCCCTGGCCTTGAGGAGATGACGGCCAATGGTTCTCACTCCTGCCCAGTGGGCAGGCGATTAGGGGACATTTGTGCAAGGGCCCGGTGCCTTGGCCTGCGAGTTGCCACCCTTGCTCTTTCTGTCCTCAGCACGGGGGGGGGGGGGCGCTGGGAGGGACTAGAAGGTCAAAAGCTCCAGGAAGGCCGGCCGAAGGAGCTGGGAGAAGGCGGGAGGGCAGCTGGTGGCGACAGCTCTTCTTCCCTGGGCGGGTTTTTCTTCTAGAAGACCTCCCACACATCTCAGGCCCTGTCCAAGCAAGGAGGGGGCTGGAGTGGGTGGCCCCCTAGGCTGCCTTCACTCAGTTCCAAGCATTGGAGGAGAAAGATCAAGGCCCAGAAGGCTGCTAGGCAGGGCCTGCCCCATTTCCCGAAGTCCCATGCCAGCGTGGATGCTTGGAGCTTGGTTTCTGGAGGCTTCCTTTGGCCCTGGGGCATGGCTCTTTTCTCCCCGTTGCTGGCTTTGCACGCCATGACCTGCCACAGCAGAGGCTTCCCCTCACTAACCCCCAAGGCAGCTTCTTTGCTTGTCTGTCACTCAGCTCAGTGAAGCCCTCCTGGTGGGTGAGGAGAGGCAGGCCCAGGGGCTCGAGCTGGGGCAGGCAGTGCCGGAATCAGAGAGGAGCCCTTAGCCTACTGGGAGGTGGGAATGTGAGGCAGTTATTTCAGGCTCCTGCGACCAGCGAAGGAAGCTTGAGGCAGGCACAGTGGGGGCCCAGAAGAGGGGACACCAGGAACTTCAGCTGGACACTGCCGCCCTGGGAAAGACACGGAGGAGTCAGCTAGGAAGAGCTGAAGGCGTCCAGGAGAGGCCTTGCCCACGGCCCTCGGCAACAGGAACTGGCTTCGGAGAAGGGAGCAATCAGTCCATCATGCCAAGGGACAGGGAGCTCAGGAGCCCGTGGTTCTTAGGTGGCCCAGGGGTGAGTGCCCTTGGGCCTTGGCTCTGGCCCCTACCTCTCACTGGCCTGATCTCAGTGCTTCCTACGCCCAAAACAGGGCACGAACAGGTACGTGCAAAACTGAGTCCTCCCTCTCCTGGGACCCAAGGCCCAGAAAGAGCTGGCTGGCCCGAGAACGGGGTCCTGGGGTGCAGAGCCCCAGGTGGGGCTCAGGGCTGGGACAAGGCCTTTTGGCACCTACCCTGCCGACCCCCTCAAACTCAGCCCCATCCCTGTGGTGACCTCTGGGGGCCAGACGCTGCTTTCAGTACCTCAGACATTCTGGCACCTCTGGGCCAAGAGCTTGGGAGGGATCCCAGTGGCCAGGTTTCACAATCGTCACCTGGTGCCAGACTAGCCCAGCGAGCGACACGGAGAGCGTTTGCAGGCAGGACTGCCGGGAGCAAGCACCACTTGCTAGAGGCCCTGCACCTGCCAGGCAAAGCAGGGTGCTGACGAGGCCCGTTGGGGTGCTGGCCACTCCCAGGCAGTTTCGCGGGGCGGCCCCACCCTGGCTTCATGGCAGTTGAACCTGCCAGGACTTGCCTGTCCTTTGGCCCCCCATGCAGTGGAGCCCAGCACTGGCACCGGGCCTGCTGCCTGTACCTCCCGCAGTGGCCAGAGTCCCCCAGCTTAGCTACTTCTACCTTGTTATCTTGGACCCCCGTTTCCGGGAGGACCTTCAGGGAGAAAAGCCCGCTCTGTCAGTTCCCCGATCAGACGTGCTCTCATCACCCCTGCCTGGGCAGCAGAGCGCTCCCGTGCCTGTGTCCCCTCCCCAGACAGGCACAGAGGGGTGTCTCCAAATGCCATCATGCCGGGAGACAGGCTGCCATACAGGTCAAAGGCTGACCGGTCTTCTTCCTCCCCCCTCCTTTTTTCCCCATACCCAAGTCACTCCAGAAAGTTCTCTGGGGCCATTCTCTGCAGGAACTGACGTGAACAGCTCTCCAGGGCTGAGCTTGTGAGCAGCAGATCCGGCAGGGGCGGCTCTGACTGGGATCCGCCATGGTTTCGAGCGTGCCAAATGCATGATGAGGCAGTGCTGGTCATGGAAGGTTCTAGTATGTCCCAACATGCCTCTTTTTTCTTCTCTGTTCCCAACTACCTACTTGTGTCCCTCATATCGGAGAGCTTCAGATCAGAGCCCGCATTCCACCAACCGTCTTCCCCCACACGGGCACCCTTGCGGCGTCGGACGGCTGGAATCTAGCTGGGTAACGTGGGCTGCGGGGCCAGGGGGATCTGAGGCCTGCTTTCAGGCCAGCTCTTGCGAAGCCTGGCCCTGGGCAGTGGCGGCTTCTTTCTGGGGCTCCCCCTGCTGGTCAATGTGAGCTTAGCAGCTCTTTCCTCTAAAAGTCGCGTCCCTCTTCCTGGGCACCTTCCCTGGAGAGGGCACTTCTGGGGCAGAGCGATGAGTACCAATTAAGCATCACCCTTGCCCTTGCGAGCAAGTGGCTCGCAGCACAACTGGGAAGGTAAGTCAAGAGTCGAGTCACCCCACGACAGAGGGGGCACCTTGCTGGCAGCTGGGCCAGGCCTAGTAGAAGCCAGAGGAGGCACCTTGCTGGGGAAACTGTGTTTGAGATGGGCTTGAAGGAAGAGCAGGCGGCTGCGGGCCCAGCAGGAACGGAGGCTCCTTGAGGCCTGGCCGCCCTTAGAGCTGGGGAGGGCCTGAGGGAAGGACGGGCACCAGTGTGTATGTGGGGAGCAGCACTGCGCTTCCCCACTGGGGTTGAGTGGAGGCGGGGAGAGGACGTGCGCAAGGCGGCAGAGCCAGATGTCACCTGGGCTGTCACACAGCAAGTCAACGCGGCCCGGGTGAGAGGGCGAGACTTGCTGCCGGCGGCGGAAATGCTCACTGGGAACCTGGAGGCCTCACCGACTTCTCCTGGCTGCAAAGCCGGCCTCCTCCTGGGTTCCGGTCCTTTGCTACTCTGGGGTCACTGACACCAC